CTTGATGTTATGCTAGAGTGCCTTACAACTCACTCTTTAAGCCTCTCTACTGAGGGCTCTATCAGTGGATCTTGATGTTATGCTAGAGTGCCTTACAACTCACTCTTTAAGCCTCTCTACTGAGGGCTCTATCAGTGGATGACTACCCTTACTTGATGTTATGCTAGAGTGCCTTACAACTCACTCTTTAAGCCTCTCTACTGAGGGCTCTATCAGTGGATGACTACCCTTATTGTTCATGATTATTTTCACAGTTGTTTGCGGATGGACTTCTTGTACTATCACCAAATTGAACTTGCTACCCTTGTAGTTCTACCGTTGCAGATAGACCCTGCAGTGTTTTTTTTTACTCTTTTTTGGTTGCTACCTGCAACATTAGAATTCTTTCAGGAGGTCTCTCTGCAACAATCGAATTATAAGGGTAGCAGGTACAATTGGCGATAGTACAGTGGGTCTATCGGCAATTAACCCTTATACCTATGATGTACAATTTCTCATTAATAGGAATTTAACATATAGTCCTTTTTAATGTTTTGTTTATTTTGTTGTTTTTTGCTTCAGATATGGGTGTATGGAAATAGCTTTGAGTCTTTCCTTATTGCCGTCATAAATCCCAATCAACAAGCTCTCGAACGGTGGGCTGCAGAGAATGGAGTCATTGGGGACTTTGCTTCGCTTTGTGAGAACAAAAGAGCAAAAGAATACATTCTCGGAGAACTTTCTAAGACTGCAAAAGCACAAAAGGTTAATCACTGAAAACATTTTTCTTCATTGAAATGAAAATTTCTTTTCATTTGCTCCCGCACCTCACTCTTGTTTGTGTAACGGCAGTTGAAAGGTTTCGAGTTCATTAAAGCCGTTCATCTAGACCCAGTACCTTTTGACATGGAGCGCGATCTACTAACTCCTACTTACAAGAAGAAGAGGCCACAGTTGTTCAAATATTACCAGGTTATTGCTCTTTTCCTTTTCAAACCAAAATCCTAAGTTTGTGTCTTTTGAATACTTGTTTGAAACCCTTATGCTGGTTATCCATTTGCAGAAAATTATTGAAGAAATGTACACAGGCACGAAGTGAGCTGCTATGCTGAAAGACACTACTCTCTTCTATTTTTTTTATTTTTTATCTTCATGGAATGTATAAACGAGGAAGTTTTTTTTTCTTCCATTTTTCTAATATGTGATATGGATTTCTAAGATATAGACATTTGTTTGTGTAGATTGAATTACTTCAGTTATACAGAATTGTGATTGGTCAATTATCAGAACTTAAGATTTTGTGCATTCTGTATTGCACTTTTTAAGTTTTAGTTTATCTATTTTTTATTGGATTGCAAGTGATTGTATGAGTTCTCTGCCTTTGTGCATTATTTTTATTTTACTGTGAAAAAAAAAACGTACGTATGCATCATGCAATGAAATTATAAAATACATTAATAGAAGGGGAAATTCTTGTATTCCTACACAGTTTTAATTATGTAGTACCCGACAATTTAATTTGTAACTCCACATCTTGAAAACTATGGATCTACGCTTCATATTTATTGAATACCAAATTTAACCTTTATCGTTTTTTCTTGATCCTCAATAAATACTCTTTCAAGTAATCATTACCAATAAGTCCCACGAGTTAGTATTCTTGCGAGACTGTTTTTCAATTTTTATTTTTTATCACGTCTTTGGCGCACACGAGAATCGAATCTAGCCCCCCACGAGAGTGACACAGCTTTGCCAAGTGATCTACTTGGTCGCCCCCTTTCTTGCTAGACTTCTATAAATTTGACATAACCTATTGGTCATTTCATAGAGCAAAACAAGGGACAAATTTTCAAAACCAACCTTTTTGATTTTTTTTATTTGTAAAAAACGACTCATTTTCAAAATATTTGTAAAAACCGACATGGTTTCAGCCTCAGCGCTGAAACAGGTCGGTTTTTGAAAAAAAGTTTCCGAAACTTCACGGGAGTTGAACTCCCGTGAAGTTTAGCAGCTTAATTAAAAGCTGCTAAACTTCACGGGAGTTCAACTCCCGTGAAGTTTCGGAAACTTTTTTTCAAAAACCGACCTGGTTTCAGCGCTGATGCTGAAACCAGGTCGGTTTTTACAAATAAAACTGAAATAGGTCGTTTTTTACAAATAAAAAACCAAAAGGGTTGGTTTTGAAAATTTGTCCGCAAAACAGGAGATACTTCTTGCCAAGCTATTTAAACATAGAGGGGTGTTAGGGACACACCCTTGGGCACACCACCAACCACACCCCCCCTCTATCTACAGTGCAGGGGCCCCACATGTGATTTTCTTAAAAAAATCACATGTGGGACCCCTGCACTGTAGATAGAGGGGGGGTGTGGTTGGTGGTGTGTCCAAAGAGTGTGCCCCTATCATTTCTTTTAAACATATGAAGTGTCTTTCAATCATAGTTGTTTGGTCGAGTAAAATATATAAGTGAAAAATAAGGAATGGAAGGGAGTAAGTATGAGAACGGAATCCTTACTCTCATACTTAACATCTGGACGCGATTAGAGAATTAGTGCATTTTTTGGGTTTTTTTTTTTAAATCTCATGTAAATGAGAATCATTCTGATTTTAAAACATATATTGTGTTTGGTATGCTTGAATGGAAAGTGGGAATGGACAGTCCATTCTGCTGGTTCCTATGTACCAAACAAATGCGTAGATAGCAAGGCATATGATCATATGTGTCATCAAAAACTCATAAACCATACTTTCTTTAAACTCATTCATCATATAGAATTGTTTCTAATTAACTCTACTAAAAAGTAATGGAGACAACACTGTTTTTCTCATAGTCGATTGATTAATGAAAATTTGTGATTTGTATTATTAAGTGTAAATATAAGAATGTGTATAATTTATAAGGATATGGTAAGTGTTATTTTTGAAATGAACTACAAAAGTTCATCCCTGTCCATTAAATAATTCAACAGTTTGTATGAAAAACAATAGCCACGTACTCTACTACACCTTGGTATTATAGAGAATCCAAATCCATCATCTAACCTCAAACTGGATGTATCATGTAACTAGTGGAATTAAGTTTGTTTTACAGCAAAGCCATTTTTTTATGTTAGAAAGTTGATATGTGATTTGGGGGACGTTAAACTTGATTTCGGGGTCTCTTGATCACCTTTGATGGTTAATTTTCTACTGAGGATCTTCACATATACTTCACTACACAAGTGATAGAGGTTAGAGGCACCGCAATTTGATCCCTCTAGTATTTCCCTTTGACGCTTAAGTTAGTGACTGTTTCTAGTTAATCTGAAGAGAAAGACAGAGTATAGTCTTATTGACTTTTTGTGCATGAAAATTGCGTTCCTTGAGTTGATGACAGACTCCATTATTTATAGAGGGCTTATAGGGGCACATTGGTAATTTTGGCCAAGTGTGTGCACTTCTAGTTCAGAAACTACTTTATATGTGACGACAATTAATTGGCCAAGTTGCCTTTGTATAGTGATGAGACTGTTGGAGTAAAGGCATGTCCGAGGAGCTTTTGAAGGCTCTGACTTGAAAGGTCATTAAGACTTTGACGCTGCATTAATTGTTGGTAGCGACAAGGTGGCAAAAAACGGATGCTGACTATACGTTCATTAAATGCAGTGTAACTTTTGATGATGCTTGTCAAGTCGCTCCACTGCTAGAGACGTGCTGCGTTGGGTCTGAGTGGAGAATGCCCTTCATATCGGGGCCAGTCATCCAGCAGAGTCTGAGTTGGCTAGCTTATCACTTGGGTTGCACTTGTGGATGCTCGGGGAGTCAGTAAATTAATTGTTACATGGCAACTTTTATTGGGTATGGTAATTTTCAGGGTATAATATTGGCCCCTTCTCACTCGGACTCGGGAAGTTGAGTTTGAAAGAAAACAAAATGGACTAATGCTTGAACTCAATTCTTCCTCATTAGAAGATAACTGTGATTTGACATTTCTAACGTCAGGGGAGATCATGTGGTGGTTTTGATGGAGTGCCGCCTCATTTGATGGGATGTCGCTTCGGTTTCCAAAAACCGTCAATGATTTTCCCATGAACCGCCGATCATCTATCTTCCGCTATGTATCATCCCCTTTTGTTTCTATATATGCTCTTCCTTCTTCTTCTCCTTGCTTTGCAAAAACCCTAAAGAATCTTTCTCTGTTGCTTGTGCGTGCATTTTTTCTTTCGCTGAATTTTCGTTCGTCTTTTCTCCTGCTTTAATGGCTTTCAATGCTCAAACTACCATGGTTCGCAATGAGGCTAGAATCGCCTTACTACGTCTGTATCACTCAACGGTGCTTATGGACTACTTGGAATAGTACACTCAGGATTTTGATATCCCAAGTGCTTACATGTTGTTGGCTCCGTCACGAGACCAATTTGTATATCATCACAGCAGGGTCTGGCACCATTGTACCTACACCATCTCGACTATGGCCTTTACTTGTTGTTACATTCATTCTTTCAGAAGGTCTTTTGGGCTTTAGGGTCAAGCCAACGCACCTGACACCGAACTCTATTTCTTTTTTGGTGGCCTTCCTCATTATCACAACTGAGTGGACGTTAGATTGATAATGGGCATGCTGGGCTGCTTGGTGTGCGTCAAGGATGGCAAGAGGGAGGGTCATTTCTATCTGTATATAGTTGGCGATTGCTGGCTGGTGTCCAACATTCCCGAGATGAACAAGGGATGGCGAGAGAAATTCTTTTTTGTCATGGGTGTCGATCCAATATTGGCTTGTCCTTCATTGCCGGAGATTAAGAAGGAAGGCTTGCGGATAGAGAAGCTTTGAGACGTAGAGTTACAGGGCCTGGAAAGGATCTGGGCCTACAAGGGGTCACTGTGCTAGGAGAAATTTTTTTGACAATGCTATCGGCATATTCTCTGTTCCCGTTGCTAAAGCGGATTTTTGCAAAACCCCCTTGAACTTTAGGGGGTGTTGCACATACACCCCTTCCCCCACCCTAAAAAAACGTTTATCTCACGTAACCCCCGAGCCATGGGGCGCTCCCACAAACCCCCTTGAACTTTAACTTATCTTACCTAACCCCCCGTCTGTAATTTGTAAATAACTAAAAAAAATTTAGAGAAAAAAATTCAAACTCTATGGGACGGAGTATGTTTCTTGTGAACAATAGGTGATAAAATTTAGGAATTTTTCACTTACAAATATTTTAGTTACTTACAAATTACAAACAAGGGGAGTTAGGTGATGTAAACTGGGGGAGAGGTCGTGAGACAACCCATGTTCAAGGGGTTTATGTGAGATAAAACAAAGGTCAAGGGAGTTATGTGCAAGGGCCCCCAAAATTCAAGGGGGGTTTTGTGAAATTAACCCATCTAAAAACAACACGCAGCGACTCGAGAATGTGGCATTACTCAGAAAAGATGTGAAACAGTTACACGTGTGATATTCTTGATAATTTATTATTTGTCTATTTTTACCTGGATAGAATCATTTATTATATATATCTACTTCTTTATTACTAAAGGAGAACAACAAAAAAGATAAAATGAACAGTAATCTAAAGTTGTGAACCATGAAAAAACTAAAATGAATAACCAACCATTTCACACAACCCACTTCTCTCACTAAAAATAACCAACCTCTCTAACTCCTACGTCTCCGTTCTTCTGCTTTTCCTTCTAAAAAGAATCCCACGACTTTAAAAAGAAATTTGCAAACCCATTTTTATTTTTTTAAAAACCGCTTCTGTCTCCCTCGATATAAACGGCTCCAAGATCCCTTCCTCCAATTCCACCTCTCCCCGCCTTCGCCGTGATCGGATGTATCGCGAGTCGTCAAAGGTGACCTACGTCAGCACTGACGGAACCAAGCTCTCCAGCGCCGTCGATTTCGAGGTAGGAGACAATAAAGTCTATTCAAGCTCTCATGACATATCGATTTCGATGTCGATGCCGGAGCGATGCGTCGGTGTAGGCGTCAAAAATGCTGATAGATATCCAAACATAAGAGAAGATCACCTAAAAATCACAAGAATTCATACTATCTTAGAAAGATCAAGACAAATATGGACTGTCTTGCCAGCGAGACAGTGTTAGCTGTCTCGCCAGCGAGACAGTGTTTTGCTGTCTCGCCAGCGAGACAGCTTTGAAATGATCAAAAATTAATTAAATAACTACCACCCACGTGTCCATACGTGTCCATTAACTGCCAAGGGACGTGAAAAACATCGTGAGCGAAAATCATGTGAATAACTGCCAAAATAACGGAGTTTGAAACGTGGGAAAGCGGTTACAGCAGAAACTGCCAGCAGTTGGAATTT